TGCGGCATACATGCACAACAACTCTTCCTTGAACAATCATGTTAAAATCCAAATTTGCGTTAGCTGAGATATTTATGCCCAAGATAATGAGTCATATTTTCATGAATTTGGCATGGATTTAGCCCAGTTACAGTCTTATCAACCAATGTCACATCCTCTAAAAATGTACCATATTTCTTATATCCTTATCTAAGCATGTGACATAATTGCATCTCTAACTAATACACATGATTGGAATATCGGCGAATTATATATCTTATTTCAACCAACAATGGCAACAATTTGACAAGAATTTTCTTATCTTTGATTATAAGAAAAATAACAAATTCTCCATGAAATATACTTTTCATTCCATTGAATATTAATAAATATAAAACTAAAGCATAAAAAAGTTCTTTAGAAAAGGGCACTAGAGAGATTTGGGGAAAGAATGTGCTTACTGTCATGTAAAATGCACCTGCACCATAGTTTGGTTGAGCTGATCCTCTCCCTCGAGCTTCTTGGTCCTGAAATCAAGGGCAAACAATAACGTAAAGAGGGATAAAAAAATGGTGCAAAAAAGGCCAAGCAAGAACACATAAAAAACTAACATGATCTCTCTCCCCAATAATATCAGAAAAAAATTACAAAGTTGATGAATATACTAAGACCAGCATATGCAATTCAAAATTTAATCATCAAAATAATTAGCTCCATTTAGTTGCGAAAAACCTATGCATTCCGCACTTTAAGCTGCTATCATAAGAGATGACTATTCAAATTGGTAGAAGGCAACATATGAGTTGCCAAACCCATCAAGTCTAGTTATACAAATTCATTTTAAATCATTTGCATAAAATTTAACCTCCAGAGTTCCTTTCCAGGCAAAAAAACTATGCATAACATTGACAGTGGATGTCCAACTCATTCAACACATGCTTTTAGCTACTTACTCTATGTACTAAACCTCCTAAGAAATTTTACCTACATGTTGAAATTTTAGTGTAAGGCTAAGTAACAGCTGAGATACAAAAAGAGAGATAATTAAGCAAGGCAAAACTTGAATAGATAGAAATACACTCTTTTACCTATTTAACTCCTGAAATCATTTCCCAAGCTTCCTATACTTCCAATACAAATTACTCTTTTGTTGAGTAGCCTTGACTATATTCAAACAAAAACACAGCATATAACCATTGTGATATACTGGTTCACTAGTCTTCTCTTGGCTTGCAAACAGAAACAAGAGAGTGAATGAAAATGAGATCTCCACTTTATGCTTTCTGTTGTTTTGGCTTTCTGTTGTAAGTGCATTAGCAAAATGGCTGCACTAAGATATGTCCAGTAAGTACTTTGTTTAAGAACTCCTAAGCTTCACCACATAAATTTTTCGTTTCTCCCAAACTTGTCTCACCGATCTAAAAATAAATAAAGGCCATTGTCCAGCACGGTTATGATTACATAGGGTGCTGGGAGGAGTAAACTTGAGACACAGTTAACACCCTTGGAATATTTTTGCAAAGTCTGAGCAGTTTACCAATGAATTGAACAATGTACTCTGAAGAGACTATTATCGATTACAAAAATCTTAGCTTGTTAAAGTTCAAATTACAAAGAACACAATCAAGAAAACAAATGCGTACAAAACAAATCAAGAACTTCACTATATGCCTGTAGTCACTGATAGAAAAAATCTAAATCAACAATCAAATACAACAAACAGATCGCATATTTCAGACAACAAAATATCAGAAATCGACCACAAAAATCCAATCAAACAACCACATTGCTCAACAAGCCCATCATACAATCCATAAACCCAAAAAAAAAATTTAAAAGCCCCAAAAACCAAAACCCAATCATAAAACATTCCATTAAATTACATAACAACGATAGNCACAAAAATCCAATCAAACAACCACATTGCTCAACAAGCCCATCATACAATCCATAAACCCAAAAAAAAATTTTAAAAGCCCCAAAAACCAAAACCCAATCATAAAACATTCCATTAAATTACATAACAACGATATATATGCAAAGCATAAGAACACAAATATATGAATATTATGTAATTACCGCAAATGGGTTCACTTCTTCGTCGAAAGGATTGGGATCGTAACGGCCAGCCATGGAATACAAAACAGGGAGTTAACTATCTTCCGAGACACCCCAAAAGAACGATTCGAAAATTACAGATCTGAAAATGGAGCAAATGGATTTGAATGTATATTGAAAAACGTAAGGAATTTGATTTTTTTTTTTTTGGTGTGAAAAGAAAGGAATGTATGAGGTGAGTCCGTACGGATTTTCTTCTGAACGGACGTATGGGTCTTTTGCTGGTCAGTTGTCTGTTTGTTTCCCAGGAAAAAGTAACGAACTATTTTTCTTCAAGGATAGGTAAAGTGGTAACCGGACGAGATATAAATCCACCGACCGGGGTGACCCGAGACATTTTGAGCTTTAAAGCAGAAATAATAAATGAGGTTTTTTTANAAGGATAGGTAAAGTGGTAACCGGACGAGATATAAATCCACCGACCGGGGTGACCCGGGACATTTTGAGCTTTAAAACAGAAATAATAAATGAGGTTTTTTTATTTTGAATATTAATAATAAATTTAATTTTTAATTTTTTAAAATATAAAATATTAATTAAATTTTTATATTCAAATTTTTGTTATCATATTTGAATTTAATGGTAATAGAGAAAGAAAGAATGATTGAAAAAATGGTAAGTTTAAACTTTGACTTTATTTTAGGGTTAAAACTAATTTTTTTAGTAGATTTAGTTTTACATTTATTTTTTTATTTAAAAAAATAAATTTTAGGGCATTTTAATTTTACGGCTGAAGTTGAAATATTTTGTTTAGGCATGGATTTAAATTTTTTGTTTTGACTAGTATTGTACACCTATAAATTATTGGCCTTTTGAGGCCTTAATTTTTTTTTTTTTCCTGATTGGACTTGTATTTTTGTATGACTTAAAATATTTATAGATTTAATTTTTTTACATGAACTATTTATGATATTTAAAAATTTGAGACCTTTAAAAATGAGACCTAAAGCCCAATTTTTTTTGATAACACCGTTGAGCTGCCCTCGCTAGTGATCTTGAGTATGAAGCGGTTATGAGATTGAAATTAATCGAGGTGCGCATGCATAAATTAGTTCAGACGTCCCTGATCATTGAACCAAAAAAAAAATTATTTTTCTTCATCACAATAAAGAAACAAACTATCACCGATCTATTATCAGTTCTTTATCCTAAATCGAGACTGATTATACATATATAGAAAGAAATTAATCAATTCTGATAATAATAAATTATATAAAAGAGTTATTTATCTGAAGAATATTTTTATCGATCTATTGACAACAAGTAGATCTACGTATGAAGAATTGATAATGTATCAAAAAAAATTACTATAAGAAGACATTAATACACTTTTTGTTAATAAATTCATAGATAACCAATGCGAGATGGTCATAATAAATTAATAATATTTACAAGTCATTGTAGGCAAAGACGGAAGATTAATCTGATTTAATTATTCTAAGATTCAATTCAATGGGCTTCAACAGTGAAGTTTTATGATCTCACTTGTAGCCAGTGTATCAATGAATTTTCAACCTTCAATTCATATGAGTTTCATCAGTAATCAATGTCTTAATGAATTCAATTATAATTACACGTAGCATGATTTTTTCAATTTAAGCAAATTAAAATAAAATTTTAAAATTTTACTTTTCTTTTATCAATGCATTGGAGAATTTAATTGTTCAAAATATCTGCCCGATTTGACACATTTCGATCATATGCCGTTTAACATCTAATAAAACTAATCTGACATGCCTTGGCTAAATCGCCCAAGATATTTTTAAGTCAATTTCGAGTCATTGAATTATAATTACTGAATCTGTCAATATGTCACAATATGATTTGAATCTTTCGTTATGTTTAACATGTTTTTTGCTCGTATCGATCGATACTATTTTGTGATGCCACAACCCGTATATTTTTNGATATTTTTAAGTCAATTTCGAGTCATTGAATTATAATTACTGAATCTGTCAATATGTCACAATATGATTTGAATCTTTCATTATATTTAACATGTTTTTTGCTCGTATCGATCGATACTATTTTGTGATGGCACAAACCCGTATATTTTAGAACCCCCCAAAGTAATTTAATAATGCGACCTTGAATCATAATGTCAATCCACTTCTCCAAATCTACTCCCTGTGTCAAGTATTTCTCAAGGGCAAGGGAATTATACCATCTCATGGTAGATTGGCGAATTCTTGGGCATTATTGGGCCGAGCTGGATTTGAACCAGTGTAGATGTAATGCCAACGAATGTATGAATGGCTTGTTTTGTAAGGGATTATAGATGAATCTCACACTCTAGATACGTGTAGAAATGGTTTTGGTACTTGTCTAAAGCATTCTCTAGATGCCATTTTATTGATTTCTGCNATTATTGGGCCGAGCTGGATTTGAACCAGTGTAGATGTAATGCCAACGAATGTATGAGTGGCTTGTTTTGTAAGGGATTATAGATGAATCTCACACTCTAGATACGCGTAGAAATGGTTTTGGTACTTGTCTAAAGCATTCTCTAGATACCATTTTATTGATTTCTGTTATAGTTGTTAAATTTCTTTTCTTTTCCACCAAAACCGACGACGGAATTTTTTGTCTTCGTTGAAATTGAAACACTCAATGATTGCATATTGAGAGCCTTACTTTTCAAAGTGTTTTGATGTGTTCTGGTTATTTTGATAAGTTTCAGACAATGTTTTGAAAAAAAAGTATAAATTTTCTTTCTTCCTGTTTTTATTTTATTTATAAAATATTGTCGAAACATTTCTATTTCTGAACAATTGAAAGTACCCACCGAAACAAAAATTTCTTTCTTGATACCAATAGACACAAGATCAAGAGGAGAAGAATATNTATAAAATATTGTCGAAACATTTCTATTTCTGAACAATTGAAAGTACCCACCGAAACGAAAATTTCTTTCTTGATACCAATAGACACAAGATCAAGAGGAGAAGAATACATTCCTCTGAAAAAAGAGATCAAAATGCAAGAGTGAGTGAAAAATATTATGTAGAACCAAAAGAAAAAGGGCTTTGTACATGTGGTGGTTATGTTGTCAATAGTATACATTGATCAGGTTCTGCCAGGGGCTGCCGAAACTTGTAGATAACTTTGCATATAAGCATATGTTAGTTGGGTGCCCAATGAAGGTCTGACATTCAAATGTTTATGAAGTGCCCAAACTAGAATTGGATCTCATGCTGTACTCTCGTACAAGCATTGAAAATGATGAGAACTCGTTTTCCAGCAACTTGGTTGGATGATCATATTCCTCAATTAGTCCTGCACCACAGGGAAAACCAGATCTAGGTATGAATCATCAGAATCAGACTTAGTATGATATGTTAATGAGGTCATACGAACCGTGATTTAAGAGTAGGACCATGTCACTGTAAAGCACAGATGTTATTCTATGGGCAATTGTGATGATTGTGGAATCAGAGAAATTCTGCCTAAGGGTCTGCTGAATCAAATTATCTGTTGCTGTATCAACTGATGCTGTGGCCTCATCAAGCACCAAGACCTTGCTTTTCTTGAGCAGCACACGGCCAAGACAGACCAGCTGCCTTTGACCCATACTCCAATTTTCTCCATTCTCAGTAACTGCAACGATATTAGGAACACAAAAAATAAGAATCCGGATGAATCTATATTTATTCCCTTATATGACAGCATTGTTGCTAAGTCGTCCTGTGTTTTACATGTCGTGTTTAGTGTCTTATCATTTAGATAGTCGGGCACTAGTCTGGGTAAAGGAGAACAATTGTGTTAGCTAGCTGACAACCAACGACAAGTTTCGNGAGCAGCACACGGCCAAGACAGACCAGCTGCCTTTGACCCATACTCCAATTTTCTCCGTTCTCAGTAACTGCAACGATATTAGGAACACAAAAAATAAGAATCCGGATGGATCTATATTTATTCCCTTATATGACAGCATTGTTGCTAACTCGTCCTGTGTTTTACATGTCGTGTTTAGTGTCTTATCTTTTAGATAGTCGGGCACTAGTCTGGGTAAAGGAGAACAATTGTGTTTGCTAGCTGACAACCAACGACAAGTTTCTTAGATTCATAATGAACATAAATCCTCAAATAAATGGAAAAATGTTGTGTTGAATTCAGTTGAGTATACGCTAGAAAGGTGCAGTTAGAAAACCTGGTGAATCAAGCTTGCCGGTCTTCTTCCTAACCTCATCTCCAAACTGGCACTTATCAAGAGCCTAAAGCAACAAAAGAGAATTAACCAAATAGTCATAAGCAGTTATTTCAATTTTTGTACTAAACCAGCATAGACATCATCTGAAACCAGACACACCTCCCAAATCTCTTCATCCCTATACTCTTCAAGAGGATCCAGGTTGCTTCGAATAGTCCCCTCAAACATGGTTGGATCCTGTGGAATTATGCTCAGCCTTGATCGTAAATCATGGAGTCCAATGGTGGAGATGTCGATGTGATCTATCAAAATTTGTCCAGAAGTTGGCTCAACAATGCGGAAGAGTGTCTGTATAAGAGTAGATTTTCCACTGCCAGTCCTCCCTACAATGCCAGTCTTCTTTCCTCCAGGGAAAGTGCATGTAAGGCCTCGTAACACAAGTGGCAAGTTCGGGGCATAACGAACCTATGTCCATTATCAGGAATATGAACTCTATAAACGTGTGCAATATGAACAATGAGAACTTATCAGGCATTGAAAATGAAAATTACCTGAAGATCATGAATTGCAATTTCTCCATGGGATGGCCAATGAAGGTCTGGCCTGTTTGATTCTATAACAAGAGGAGGCTCACTGGGGATGGAAATGTACTGAAGTATTCTTTCAACTGATATGATTTTATTTTGTATATTGCAAAGGTACCATATAACCCAGGCTTCTATTATGTTCAGATTAAGCCCATATGTCACTGCCAATCCCGCGACAGCTTCAAATACACGAGAGAAGACAGAGAGGAAGAATCATTATTTTCTCAACACTATTCCAGGTGGAGCGAAAAGGGTAGTCAATAAACAAGAGGAAGAAACACTTACTTGGATCAATTGTTCCATCTGGAATCGATATCAAGAAAACCAATGAAAAAGCAAATGTAATAGCAGACAACATATCCAAGCGGAAACATAGCCACTCCATTGCAGCAGCATTGTAAAACTGTGGATGAGAATATTTATCTATCAGTCTCATACATGTCTTCCGGAATCTTGTTACCTGATCAAAGCTCCTGATAGTAGTTGATCCTGAGATTGTTTCAGCAACATGCTGTATAATTGGAGCTCTGCACACTCCAGTCAAACGTGCTAGTTCTTGTGCTGAAGGTATGTAATATTTCTGTAGTTAACAAGTTATTAGAACTCCTCTAACTTTCCATATCTATATACATATCAAGTGTTTATGCATACAATTGTAAAAATTGAAAGGTTACCTTCTAATCAATTTGGGAGCATTTTAAACGAAATTTACAGCAAGTAGAGCAAATCCATGTGCCCAAAAAATTTTATGAGACAACTGATGCCATACCAATGAATTTTTTAATCAATATATAAGTGATAGGGAATGGATCACAAATGGCTACCTGTAAGCAGATACAAACTGCAATCACAGGTATAAAGACGATGAAAACCTCCCATGCAACAAGTGACATTACTGCAATAATTCCCAAGAGCTGTATTATTGAAAAGGCAAATGTCCCAATTTGATTTGGGATTTTCAAATCCACAAGACTTTGGTCTGTAGATGCCTGCAAGATGAACATTGCTCATTTAGGTAAAATTTTACAAGTTCAAGTAGTCACTAGAATTATCGATCAGCCCTGATTGGATTAAAATCTCAAACAGTCATAAAAGTAATAATAACACTATCCACAAAATAATCTTCATCTTAAACAAACAAATCAAAGCATATTCACTCACTCTGTTTAGGATTCGGCCACTTGGGGTGGCATCGAAAAAAGACATGGGGGCGTGAAAAATACGTGAATGCATTTTATTGAAAAGCAGTGTGGCTGTCTTGTACCCAGCTGTGAGAAGAAGCAAGGCTCTGATGAGGATGCAAAAAGAACTACCAATTGCCAAAGCCATGAAAACAATTATGAGAGTATATCCATCAACAGGAGGACCCACACTCTTCGACACTGGAGTAGCCCAAGCCATCCAATAATTGCTTCCAATTTGAAGTAGCTGAAACAAAACTTGTGCCAACAGTATAAGGGGCACAAGGGCTCCTCCATACGCCATTGTGATATATTTCCAGTAGACTGAGAAACCAACTCCACCTTTCTCTCTCTCTTCTTCTTGAACAATTTGTCTTTTTGGCCCCAAAATATCGTCTGGTTTACCATTTGGAGCATCTTTGGGGCTCGTTTTCTGGACTACCTTTCTAACACACTGCATACTATTGTCTTCCTCTACGATGTCTATTTTTTTGGAGATTGTCCCAACCTCTATGGAATCAAGTGCCGATAGAGCTTCTTGATGTGCACCTACAAGGTCCATAAAGCCACTTCCTGAATTGAGTATGTCATTGTACTTTCCAGCTTGTGATATACTTCCCTCTTTCATGACCTGTTGACAAAATCCTCAAACTGGTTGAGTCTTATCCTTGGACACAAAGGTTGTGAAGAAACAAGATACTGATAGCTCACCAGGATCAGATCTGCTGCAGTTAAGAACTCTACTTGATGAGTAACGTAAATCACTGTTTTCGAACGCAGAAGTCCCAATAAGCATTTCTGCCACACGAGTTTTAGTGAAAATGACTTGACCACTATGTTGTTTACATTAGGAGGAAGAGGACTAAGAGAAAAGGCAACAAAATACAGAATACTATACCAATCAGAGTTTTGACAAGTAGAGAGGTAAAGGGTGGTTACCTTGAAGAGATGGGTGCCTGTATGAGCATCCACAGCACTAAATGGATCATCAAGTAGATATATATCAGCATTTTGATACAGAGCTCGTGCAATCTGAATTCTCTGCTTTTGTCCGCCACTCAGATTGATTCCCCTCTCACCTATAATCGTCTGATCACCACATGATAGATTTTCCAGATCAGTTTTTAAAGTACATGCTTCCAGAATCCTTTCATACCTCTGTCTGTCCATCTCCTTACCAAACAGTACATTTTCTTCTATTGTTCCACTCTGTATCCAGGGTGATTGAGCAACATAGGCCATTGTTCCACCAAGCTTAACATTCCCTGATATCTTGAGCATCTCTCCCAAAATACAGGAGAGAAAGCTTGACTTTCCAGAGGCAACGGTACCACAAACAGCAACCCTCATACCATGAGACACTCTCATATTTATATCTTTCAGAGTTGGACTAGTGGAGGATTTGTGCCAAGAGAAATTCCCATCAACTATCTCAATAGTTGTTTCAGAATTATCTCTTGGAAGCTTCTCTGTAACATCAGGCTGCAGGTCATCAAGACGAAGGAACGAGGCAATTCGATCAAGTGAAACTTTAGTTTGAGCTATCATTGAAATTGTGTCTGGAAGGTGATAAATGGGCTCTTGAAGTATTCGAAATGTTGCAAGGGCTGACAATATCTTTCCTGATTCAAGTGGGATTCCCATAAGCATGCAAGCACCAAAGGTGATCACAGGAACAAATATAGGAGCACCCGAAGAGACAAAACTGGTCATGACAGAAGTGTACATAAATCTTCTCAGCCATCCCGTCTCGATATTCCTGAGCTCGATAATTTTAGACAAGAACTTCATTTCCCACCCCTGAAGCTTGAGAATCCTCATGTTCCTCAAGATTTCCAACGTTGCCTTCATCCTTCTATCTTTACATTCCATTAACTTATTCTGAATTTTCTTCTGCAAACCCCCTGGTGGAACATTTGCCAACATTACTATTATTGTAGCAATAAGTGCAGCAAGTGAACCAAGCCCAAGGTTTTTATACAAGATCACCATNGAATTTTCTTCTGCAAACCCCCTGGTGGAACATTTGCCAACATTACTATTATTGTAGTAATAAGTGCAGCAAGTGAACCAAGCCCAAGATTTTTATACAAGATCACCAAAGCCAATGCAACTTGCACTAATATCATCCATGGATCATGCATGTACCAACTAAAATCTCCAATCCTCTCAGCATCAACAGCCATGAAATTGATGATCTCCCCACTAGTGTGGCACTGCTTTGATTGGCACGAAAGGGTCAAGCACTTGTTGTAGATGACTGCAATTAGAGCCGCCCTGGCCCTAACTCCACCCTGCTGCAACTTAAAGTACCACTGTCTCTGTGCTAAACACTCGATAAGCTTGGCAATGAAGAATGCAGAGACCAAAAGATAGCCTTCTTTTTTGAATTCTCGACGCCCATTAAGGTATTGAACAAATGTATCAATGAGGTAAGGCCCAACATAAGAAGCCAATGTGTTTATAAGCACAAAACAAGCTGTTAGTAGAATTTCTCTCCATGTGGTGAAAATCAATGCCTTCACTAGAATTAGTGTGGTTACTTGACTACCAGTGACACAACCTGACTCAAGCTTACTTTCTAATATGGGTAAAGCTTCTTTGACACTATCAACACTGGCAAGTTGAGGAACATCCTCAAGGTCTAATGTTTTCTTGTTGCCAAGGGCAATCAAATTATCCATCCAAGTGAAGGTGAGGAGACTAATAATGTTAGCATTGGAATAAGGGGATAAATTTTCAACCCCGTTGGGTCTATTTGATTCTCTACCATAACCAGCACTAGAATCACTATTCAGAAGGGGTTGTTGAAGAAGCTTATCTTCTTCACCCTCTTTCTTACCGGAAACCGCCACAAAACAGAAGAACAACCAGGTAACAGTGGAAAGTCCATCAGAAACCCAGAATTGGATTGGTAAATTTTGATGCTTTTTGTAATCAACAAAATCTATCACAAGGCAATAACCATAGAGTAAGAAGAAAACTCCCCACCAAACTATTAATAGTACTGGATACACAGGATCATCTGAGTTACTGAAGTGGGCATGCAAGAAGAGAGAGAGAGCTATCCAAGCTAGTGTTCTAAACACCAAATCCCAAAAAGTGACAATCTTTTCATCAGACCAACCAGTCTTATACCAATAGAAGATATTTAACAAATACAGAACAAGATTTAGAAGGGACAGACTCAAACAACAAAACAGGACAGGTTTGTAATGCAAGACCTTGGCGTCACTAACACTCTGTTTTTGGCACTGATTGGAACNAGAAGATATTTAACAAATACAGAACAAGATTTAGAAGGGACAGACTCAAACAACAAAACAGGACAGGTTTGTAATGCAAGACCTTGGCGTCACTAACACTCTGTTTTTGGCACTGATTGGAACTAATCCTGATTTTCTTGCAGACCCATATGATAAACAGAGCAAGTAACAAAACAAGGTGGAGAGAACCAGAAATCCAACGTAATAAAATGGGGTTGAGGAGGAAATGGCACCCTGTCTGTGCCAATGAACTGGACATAGAGAACCACATACTCTTGTTGGGCTGGGAATGTGGCTGAACTAAATTATTGCTAGCCCTCTAAGGTTTGATTAGCTCGATGGTTCTGCAATGTTTGGTTTTGAAATGGTTGAGAGGGAGAGAGAGAGAGAGAGAATGTGTGTGTAATGTGTAGTGGGGGTTCGGTTGTCCTCCAAATATAAAGGAATAGATGCATCTTGGCACATTTTCATTGGAGGGTGACATGACAGTAAGTATTCCCATGAAGGGTATCAATATAAACAAGTTGTCAGGTTAATTGATGGATTGATTTTTTAACTGATTATTTGAACATGAATTTGAATGTGTTATATCAGCTTTCACATGTTTATATTTGGATATATAGATATCTCATTCGATTATAATTCAATCTTATACATATAGAAATATGCAAAAATATGATTATATTAAGCACTTGTTTGAAACTGAATTTGAATTTATTTATTACACAAATTATAATCCCGTGCATCGCACGAGACAGTCAGCTAGTTTTAAAATAAATTCGAGTGATTTGTCTTGATGCAAAGATATCAAAGATCAAAATAAAGAAAGATGACGATCCTTTCTAACCATTTACCATCAGATAGTAATATCAATGTGGAAATTGGTGTCACTGCTCTCTCTTTCTATTTGGCTTTTCCTAATGCTATGTTGGATAGGGAAGATAGAAAATACAAAGGGTACACTTTTTACCTTCCAAAAAAGAAAAGTAAGAATAATACATTTTACTACCTTTGTGTTTAGTTGGACTGATAGAAAATAAAAATGACTAATTTTTTTTTTTGTGCTGGTTAAGATTAAAGGTGACAATTGAGTCATGTTATGTCAAATTCGTATTTAATTATTACAGGTTTGTGTCAAACATTAGTTATGTCTAACTCAACTCATTTAACTAATTATGTCGTGTCGTGTTACAAATTGACCTTTTTATTTTTGTGTCGTGTTCATGTTTGAGTTAATTAAGTTCGTGTCATAAAATTCGTGTTGAGTTCGAATCGTGTTATTGTGTTGAGTCAAAAAATTTTATCCCTACTTAAGATAGGAAAAATATTTTTTTAATTTAAATTTAAATTTAAATTTTTTTTTTATTTTTATTATTAAAATATATATATATTTTTATCATTGTATTTTTATGTGAAATTAATGTATATATATATAGAGAGAGAGAGAGACAAATAAGATACATCTTAACACAAATAATTAATTTTTCATCTACTTTTTTTCCGTTTTTAGAAGTATTAATTTTGGTGAGTTGAAAAGAAAGTTAATTTATCTATTTTTTAATCCTTCTTATTTTTATTCTTTATCAAATATAATATTTTATTTATTTCTCTAATTTTTTATCCTTCAATTTTTTTATCATATACCAAATGGAGAAACTTTATAAGAGCACCTTTTCAAGTTTCGGTAAGAGGCGAATGGAATTTGTACCACCGAGGTGTATGATACAGGAATAAACTCGATGATAAGATTACAATATCGATTTTTTTTTTCTTAACACTGTACAAGGTTATGGTACTAGATTTTTTTTTTGCTTTAATTAATCAGTGACCTTTAATCATAAAAAACAATAGAATAAGATTATGAAATAGGATAGCTTTACACGTACTCATCTTTGTTCTTTTTGGTTAATACAAAAAATAAAAAAATAAAAAAATAAAAAAAAATTCGATGCCCTTATCCATTCCTGCTTTTTACTGTATTTGAAACTTGAAAGTATTCTCTTGTGATGTTCAGTTTACTTTGGAATAAATGTCCAAGATAAAAAGACAATCAAAAGCTAGAAAAAGGCTGGCGTTTTTCCACCCATCTTTTCCTCTACATTGGCTGAAGCAACAGACATGAATCAATTAGAATATATATTGACCATGACTTGGAAGAGTTGTCTATTTTTTGCTATCTAGGAGCTTTCGGTTCAGTTTGTGTGTATCTCAATATGTTTTTTTCATAGTCCGATCAAAGACAAGTCATTTACGTCGAGACTAAAGTATTCGTGAANTAATTTTCCTTCTAACTCACCAAAATCAATTCCTCCAAAATTAGGAGAAAAGTGGATGAAAAATTAATTATGTGTGTTAAAATATATATTATTTGTTTATATATTATTTGATATATACATATATCATATTTATTAATTACATATTATGGTATACATTAATTTCATATATAAATATAATAGTTAAATATGTATTTGTATTTTTTTAATAAAAAATTAAAATAAAAATTATATTTTTTCCAACTTATCAAACACACACAAAAAAAAAAATCATTCCTACTTTCCATCTCTCTTACCAAACATAAATGAGAGAATGAAAGATTTTTTTCTTGAATGATGAAAATTGTATTAATCCTATTTTCTATCATTTTATTTTTTTATCCACCCTTACAACCAGACCATAGGTACATGATCTGCAAGTCTAATTATTTTTTCCCGGTGGAATAGTCTCAAGTAGTCACATAAGGAGTTATCTACCCAACCGGAAAAAAAATTTGGTACTTTATTGATATTTATTATAATTGTTAATATTATTATTATTGTTCTAATACCAAAAAAATTGATAAAAGTAATTATCACAGCAGTTATAAAAACATTCATAAAAGCGATAAATTATCCACAAAAATGATAATTTTTTTTGTATCAAACAAAAGTGACAAATAACTACCATAAGATCAATAGAAATATTCATAAAAGTGATAAAAAAAATACTCATAAAAATAGTAAATCACCCACAAAAATAATAAATTTTTTGGTTATAAAATAACCTATAAAAATTATAAAAAACACCGATTAAAATAATAAATTTAGAGGTATAGAACCAATTTTTTTTTTGTCCGGTTCTGTAGTCCAGTCCCATAATATAGATATGTACAACCAACCCTTGAAAACAATTTTAGTTTCCGGCACTAAAAATTATTTTCACGAATATTATCGAGAAATAATTCAAACCAAAACTTACGATCGCCAGTAATATATTGAAATTATGTTATTTTTTGGTACCGTAATTTTATCCTAAAAAAGTAATATATGCTCACACAGTACCAGAACAACCAGAACCCACGAGCTGTTTTTACATTTATGCTGAGAAAGAGACTTGGAATATTGTTTCCGTTGGGGATAAGAAAAAATTCAAATCATCGGGGTGTTGATAGTGAACGAGTTCAGGTTGCATTTGGTTATTCTTCTGATATCGAATCTGATACCGTAGGCATAACAGACTATTTTTGTAGCGTTAAAATCAATTTATTTGTGATTGATAGCAACTCGACTCACTTATCATACTTCTTGTTGTTGAGCTGTATCGTTTTTGAGTTAATATCAAAAACTTGTAAATTCAAATACGATTAGTTTCATATTATATTGATATTGTGTTAATAAATCGTATGAAAAATTGGCAATTTCTAAGCACTGCCAAATAAAAAGGCACAACCAATTGCCTGATGAGTAATGATATGTATCCTAAATTTACAACTCAAATTTTCATTTTAAATTAAGGAGGATTATTGAATCAGTAGGTCTCATTTAAAAAAGTTGATGGGATCCACTGATCCAATGATCTTCCTTAATTTGAGATATAAATTTGAGATACATAGCGTTACTCTTGCCAGATTAACATATTCGTCGCATAATCTTGTAGGCCCAACACCCTTGAGAATCTCTGTCAAATTAATACACCAACTGGCCTACTTGAGATCTTTATCCACAATCCCAACAAGTAACATAAGCGGTAATAGTAAGAATTATAAATTTAAACGTTTTAAATTTAAATTTTAATAACTCTTTAAAATTAAATTATCTTTCATGAATATCCTAATTTCGATGTAGATGGTTTGTCTTTGACCAAGCCAGAAAAGGAATTAGTTGAAGTGTGTATATACTAACATGAATACTCGTCTCCGTTGAATAAAAAAAGATCTTTTTTCCCCATTGTGGTTTCACTTTGTGCAAAAAATTCCAAGTCGCTAAAGAAATGAAGAACAGGTCATTGATGCTAAAAAAATGGCAAATAAAGCTCTTTTTGCTCTTTGGGAGAAGACTAAATGCCTATTTGTTCCTTTTTTTAACTTTTTTTTTCAACCAGACCTTTTCTTTTGTTTTCATAATGATTTAATCTTTCCTTTTGACCCTGTATTGCAATTTTATATCTTATCGAGATCTCCCAATTTTTAGTGAGGAAAAAAAATGGCTCCTTGGTGAGCTGCAAAGGGTACTGGAAGAAGGAAGAAGGAAGACGGAACCCTCGCTTGTGTTCGGAGAACTTCCGTTAAACGAAGCGTAATTAAAGCGCTTACACATAAATGATTTCTTGGGTTTGTTCGTGATAATCAATCTCCTATTTTATTTTGTCCCATTTGTACCATGTTTGGTCCAAGTTTAGTACAATGTGTTAGTCCATTACCCTAATATACCAATATAATGTTAAATAAGATGAAAACACCTTTGCATGCACTCAAATTCAATGTGTTACTAAAGGCTCCTCGTATCATTTTTTATTTTAATACCAATTAGGACTGATTTTATATCACTTATCAGATGCGTTTGTGGTCCGTTTCAAAGGCCCAAAATGTAGAGAAGGTCGATTTCAAAGCCTTGGAAATTAACCCGGCCCAGATTTGTGGCCACAATGACAAAATTAGCCTCGAATTAATTGGATTCCATTTTTCTCCATAGGCGATTTCCACTCCTTACCCAAAACAAAATTTAAATTTGGGTAAAAAAAAAGCCAAAAAATTCTTTTCAATCTTCGACTCAAACTTATATTAAAACAAGAAAAACTTCTTCTTCGACCTAAATTGAGAGAATATCAAACTATTTACTTAAAATTTTTTGAGCCATAAAACAGTTATTTTCTTCACAAAAAAAAATTAACTGAA